TGAATCCATTTCTTCTCTCCCAACTATAAGTTAAATTACTTGTATCAGTAAATCAATATTATCTCCAAAAAATTCTTACAATCTAAAAATATTTTCTGACTTTAAATAACGTGTAAAAGGTTGATAAGCCATAAAAAACAAACTAATCAATTTACATTCACCAAGTCATTAATATTACATCTTTCTCCAGTGCTGTAGTGAAATGTTTAGTTTTAACCAAAGGCACAAATGATTATTTTTGATAACCTTTGTTGGATGATATTGTACAATTGGAGTCACCAGCTATCTTTAGATGGGACTTTGATATACTACCACTTACAAGAGATCTTAAGATATAGAGTGTTCCAGGAATATTGGCCATAGCTGAGGCTTATAAGCAAATTCAGACTGCAAATCACAATTAGAAAAGGAATTGCAGGAGGACCATTCCAAATGTCTAGAAAATCTATTTCATCATTTCCAATAAACATATTTTATTACTTTCAATTTTTATGTTTTGTCAAGTTCTCTAAGTCTGTATTAAAAGCTTTTAGATATTTTGTTACTAATAAAACCTAAATTTTAGTTGGCAATACCTGGTAATATAATGATGTTGATTAGAACTAATAAAGACTTCTGATGATTCAGTGTCAAACATTAAAACATTCATCAAAAAGTATCATGCTCCTGTTCCTCTGATCATTTAATACTCTTTAAACTTGAAATATAAAATAATCAAGGCCAATGAGTTGCAGTATACTATTATTCCAACTTTTTACATGACCAAAAGTTGAATGTTTTTTTGGTTCATAAGAATACAAATTGTATCCATCTTGTGCAACAGTTTGTAACTTGCAGTCTGTGGGAACAGAAAGATTCCTGCTTCTTTGTAGCAAGCATTCATCCTGATTAGTTCTTTGGTAAGAGAACTAGATCAGACTGCAAATCATTATTAGAGGAGGAAATACAGGAGGACCATTCCAAATGTCTAGAAAGTATTTTTCATCAATTACAATGTTTTTATTCATTTCAGTTTTTTTAGCTTGAATATGAATTGAGTTTAAAGCTTTGCAATAAGCATTTGTTTGAAAGATTGGCCAATGATTAATTTCATAAAACAAATTTCCAACTTTTGTATTGTCCTTTTTTGAAAAGTTGAAAATTGCCTAATTTCATAAAATTTTCACAATTTAAATATGTCTATGAGAAAAAGGATTCCTATTACAAAGAAAAGTGCTGTTTTGTTGAATCCCTCATCTCAGACTTGGTAAAGTTGGAAAGTTTTAGGTATATACTGCCAATGAATACTTTTTTATAGCCATTTCACCATGGTATACTTTTGACCTGTTTTTGCCCTCCTGTCAAATTGTGCTTCAAGCTGTTTTTACATGGTGTAAACAATATTTTTTTTATTGATATCCTACTGAAAAAAAATTAGCTTCAATTCTGTTGTGCTATAAATCATACCAAGAAGTTGCAAGACATTAACTGTTGAAATGAAACTTATACGAGCAGCCAGAATCACCCTTATGTGTTATTTTTTAAGCTGGTTGAAGCGAATAATTATTGATTCCATTAGTATTATCTTTCTTTTATGTTAAGACTACCTATATGACATTACATTTATAATGATTCTTCACTTGTTTGGAGCCTGCATCTTCAGTTATGCAATGTTAAATTTGGCTTTTTGCCCAATAGCACACAAGACAGAAATTTTCTGAGCAACTTGGTCATAACTTGGTTGGTCATTAAGCTACTAAGATAAATTTGGTACTAATTTTTATGCTCTGACAAGCTCTCTATGGCTGTATTTAAAGCTTTTAAATATATTGAAAATAAAATTTTAGCTTGGAATAATTTTGTAGAATGGATTGTCTGAAATATACTAACATGATTAACAATCCAATGAAGTTTGTCTGAATAAAGCTTGGAATGCTAATGACTTATAGAGGTTGGCACAAAATGTTTGTCTTTTTACATTAAAAAAATGAATGAATGCAGAGCAAATGTTGTTTTGGAAGGTTCATTTTCTTTTTTATGAATACAAATTTTATCCATCTTGTGCAACAGTTTGTAACTTGCTGTCTGTGGCAACAGTAAAGACTCCTTCATTGTAGCAGGCAGTCATCCTGATTAGTTCTTTAGTAAGAGAACTAGTTCATCCTGCCATGCTGTCTGGCAAAAGGGTAGAGAGAAATGAACTCAAAGCATTCTTTTGTTTTATATTGAGCTCAAAGAGTGCAAATAAGATTGTCCTTCAATTTGGTACAGAGTCTCTGATCTTTTGTTTTGCGTAACCAATTCAGATGCTGGTAATTATCAAATATTATATTACATTACCAACCTTTATTGAATCCACTCCTAAAGAATCTGATGTATGTACATGAAAACATTCCCAAATCAACATGTGAAAACTCAATAAACACAATGTCTACTACACATACACATACTTCCAAATATACATTATTATATTATTCCAATATAGACTATAAACTAAAATTATTATACACTTGCATACATAAAGCAATATTTATGGCTTTTCAGGTAGGCTCTCCTTGAATTCAGAATGCCACAAATTATACTAACATTGGTTTAAATAGTTGAATACACATGAAACCTGATTAACCAATGAAAATCAAACAACACAAAAGTAAAAATACCAGAAGTTCTTTCTTCTTTTTGTCCATATATCATTTCTTGATGAAGCTTTAATAAAAATAAAACATGTTAGATTGATAAATGGTTCCTATTTGTTCTTTATCCTATCATTCTATCAGATTCCAATCTACATTTGATCCCAATTTATCCAAATATCAAGTTTCAGAATCAAAGCTGATTCACCTGTCCTTGACAAATGATACTTTTCAAGAGATTTAAGAAATATTTTTATTTTATTTATTAAATTTAGCTTACTACTACAGATTCTTCTGAAAGTGTGGTGTGTGCATGTAGGATTCACTTTCACTGGTACAGGGTCTTTTGTTTTGGTTATCGAAGTATCTGGTTTCAAAAATGAAATTAGCTAATTGACATGCCCTTAAGAATGCAGGTGCAGCTAATGAGCTGTTACAGAGATGAGTAAATTATACTTTTCAGGAGATTTAAGAAATATTTTTATTTAATTTTATTTATTAAACTTAGATTACCAATACAGACTCTTCTCAAGAAACATTGGGCTAGTGAAAGATTCTTTTCAAATGCTGAATAAAATATTAAGAAACAGGAAAAATTTCTTAGAAACAAAGAACTGAACTGTTATGTAATGTTTGTCCTCCTATATGGCAGTGAATGCAGAACAATTCCCTCACAGATGAAGAAGAGACTTGAAGCAACAGAAACAAAGAAAAGTGTACTGAACTGTTATGTAATATCAGTCCTCCTATATGGCAGTGAATGCTGGACAATCTCCTCACAGATGAAGAAGAGACTTGAAGCAAGAGAAACAAAGAAAAGTGTACTGAACTGTTATGTAATATCAGTCCTCCTATATGGCAATGAATGCTGGACAATCTTCTTACAGTTGAAGAAGAGACTTGAAACAACAGAAACAAAGAAAAGAGTACTGAAGTGTTATGTAATATCAGTTTTTCAATATGGCATCCCCATAGATAAAGAAGCCACTTGAAGCAAGAGAAACAAAGAAAAGAGTACTGAACTGTTATGTAATATCAGTCCTCCTATATGATAGTGAATACTGGACAATCTCCTCAAAGACGAAAAGAGACTTGAAGCAAGAAGTCTGTGGTTCTACAGAAGGATGATGAGAATACCATGGACTGAACATGTGGGCAATGACAAGTATTTAGAGAAAATAGAAACAAAAAGGAAACTTATATTTGACATTAGGAAGAATAGTTGAAATTTCTGGTGCACAATGAGGAAGAAGGGCTTGGGAAATTTGATACTCACAGGGCATATTGAAGGCAAGAGGAAAACCCTAATGAGTGTATGCAAATAGATGGCAGAACAGAGTTTAAGGGAGATAGCAAACAGACAAAGAGCAACAAAGTACAGAGAATTGTGGAGAGCCATATTTGCTAATGTCCTGAAGTGGCAGGGTACATAGAAGTTGATAGTATCCAGGTAAGATTGAAATTCCTATTTGCTGGCATGAAATTTACTCTTCTTAAATATTATTACCTTATTTTTCTTTGCACATAATGTCAAATAACAATGCCAAATAGTAATAGCAATAAAACTCCTTTGATCTGATGGAATTTGTCTAGTCTGGCCAGAAAATGTTGATCAGAATAACAATCACTACTGTAATAATAATACTTAATACTTAATTTTGCTTGAAAAGAATAGCAATTACTTTAATCAACTTTTAATAGCAGATCAATGATTAATAATTACTGATTGTCTTGAAAAGGAATTCTATCTCCTGGCCAGGAAAGAGTGAATATTATCTGGAGAACAAACCTAGCAGGAGGCAAGAAAAAGTTCAATTTCTACCCAAATTTAAAAAAAAGAAAAGAAAAAGAAGAGTTTTTCAATTATCTTGAACATTTTGAATAAATCCATTTGATAACACTTTGAACTTTTCATAATGTCTCTCCTCTGACTTGTTTTATTGACTTTTTAGTCATTAAGAATTAAGCAAATTAATCTGCTGCTCATTAGTCATCCTGTCAGTAATTAATAATGTTATCAATATCGTTATTAATAATAGAAGTATTTCCTGTAAGTTACATTATTGATTTCATATGACAATCATCAGTTAAGCATCATTCTGCCTGGTCAGTAAAGAATGAATCTTTGAAAAAATTTGCTATCATTATTTCTGTTATTTTTACTGTTTAGACAATATATGAAAAACAAATTGTTGTAGAATTATTCTGAATAATTATAAAAATGTCTGGAATTATCTTGAAATGTGAAGAAATAGCTGTGAGCTGCAATGTCTTTCAAAATATCTATCAAACAAATGATACTAATGCCACCCAAAGTATCTTTCACTGAGATATTTATTAAATTTTGTTAACTAGTTTTAAATTATTGATCTACTGATAATATTGAGGCTTGTGGCCATATCACATTGAAACACCAGTTCTCACACAATCACCAAAGTTAAGCAATGTTGAGTCTGGTCAGTACCTGGATAGTTAACCACTTAGAAATACCAGGTGCTGTAAGCGTGGATATATGGCTGGTGTAATGGATAATAGTTCAGTATTGGAAATTGGATAGGTGAGTTGTGTTTGTTACATTCACTTATGCATAGATAAAATGTATGAGTCCACCTCTCTTCCTCCCCATCTATGGGTTAATTAGTAGAACTTATAACAGTAAAAATTATTAATATCTCTCCCCTGCAAAAAATTTCTTACTATTTAAAATTTTTTCTGGCTTTAAATAACCTGCAAAAAACAAACCAATCAATGATAATATTGAAAAAAGAGAATAAACGCTAACCCCTGATTATGTCTGATTCAGCTTTACAGGATGTATTTATAATCTGCACAAAAGGTCGGTTCAAGTGATCTATCATTTAATCAAAATTGATTGGATGTTACCTAAACTCTGTTTCCAACCACCCATATGATACAAAAAAGAGAACTGTTTACTGCTTACCATACCATGCAAGACGTGTAATGATCCATGAAGATAAAAACAAGAGATGACTAGTATAAAGGACACTCAATAAAGAAATAATTTACAAATATAATACCAGCAATAGTCACATGGAAAACAATAAAAAAACTATCTACAGCCACTCTATCATGCATTGAAGGCATGAGGGAAAAGAATCTAAAAATATATATATAGACATTACAGCATCAGGACAGTATTCATGCCACCCCATACTAGGTAGATACCTCTTCAAAGTAAACAAACAATAAAAAAATTGGAAGAAAATATGATCAAGAACAGTTTATACAATATCCTATGCAGTTGTGACAAAATAAAAATAAGACTTGAAGAACACCAAAAAGAAATCAGAGACATTTTGAAATTTTAAATATCCTAAAACATAATGTTTTAAAGATCCTAAAACATGTTTTAAACCACACATCATGTTTTAAAGATCCTAAAACATGTTTTAAATCACTCATCATGTTTTAAAGATCCTAAAACATTTTTTAAATCACACATCATGTTTTAAAGATCCTAAAACATGTTTTAAATCAGACATCATGTTTTAAAGATCCTAAAACATGTTTTAAACCACACATCATGTTATCTTGTTACTGTTTCATGATTTATAATCATTTTTAGCATGAAGATAACTTTCTGTATTATCTTTTACCTTTTCTGTCTGAATTTCTGACATGAGAAATTGTCATTATTATTTATTTTAAATTTTGATTAAGAGTTAAGCATCTTTCTTAAGAGTTGGCTAAGCATAGCAGTTTTCCTGGTTGTCATGAGTTCAATCCCTGGATCAGTCAATAGAATGCAGCAGAAGCTTCAACAAATGATGAAATATGAAATAAATTAACTATGAGTTATCTCCCCTAATATAAACAGTGCAATAATATATAATGACTGGTCACTTGTTTTCAAGTATGACTGTCTACTAGGGTGGCTAGCTAATCCCTGTGTTTCCTGCTCAGGCCACATTTGTATTTCTTTAACATAAACAGAACCAACCTATGGTTTATGCTACAACTATGCGGAGCCAATCCTTAGTTACAGTTTCTGAGAGAGAGTGCATAATCTGGCATGATCAACAGCATTGTACAAAGCCAGCATGCTCAAACAATTGACAGCTTCCCAAAAATTTATTCCACCTAATTTTGTTCACAAAGCTTAGGTCAACTCGTAGTATAGTTTTCAGACACTTCCCAAAAGTGCCACATGGTGGATTCCAGCATGTGGCACCAGATATTATTACCAAGAAAACCCTTCTCTGAAAAATCAGCTATGGTGAATCTGGATCTCATGCTAACATTTTAACTACTTGGCTACAATAGTCTCATCCTGTGGTTTGAACAAAAGGTTCCATTTTAAATTCTGAGAAAGCTACCAAATATGAAGAAGGCTGAATGAAGGAACAGCTAAAATGTTGTGGTTTTGATAACAAAGATGAAGATATTAGTTCAAATAAATCTATGTATAACAATCATTTACCTTTTGTTGAATCATTTCTCCTTGGTTGCTTTTTATTTTTTATCTTTCAAATAGAAATGAAAATAGAAACAGAAGCAAGATGAACCTTAATTTTTTCATTGTGAGAAAAGAACAATCAGCCATAGAAGAAAAGCAATAATAAATGATAAATTTGACTTTGTATACAATCTGCTTATATGTAAATATATCCTCAGATATAGCCAGCATTTATCAGATTAGGCAAGTGTGAATGTTTCAAATAAAATTTCCATATTTCTTTTAACTGGGAAAGAGGAGATCATAGGAAGATGAAGAAAAATTATTGGAAAGAAAGTATTTCTTGTGGAAGCAAAAATCTGCTTTTATCATATTATCAGGAACACAAAATGATTTTTATGATTTATATTAAGATACATTTATAAAAACAAGAATTAATAAAATCAAGTCTTCTTGTCAATATGGATGCTTATAATGTGATTATATACATTATTTTTGTACTTCCTTTTTGTTACAAGTAGTTGAGAATTCTAATTTTGTCCTTCTTTCTTTATGATACATATTCAGGGAAATTTTCTGTTTCTAAAATCACTTGATATAATTTTTCTCTCCAGTATCTATCTTACATGGTTATAAGTCTACTATTCATCCATGATTAAAATATTGCTGCCACATATGGTCCAGTACCTCTATTCCTTGATAAAATCCAAAGAAGAATCAGCCATATTATCAGTCCTGATCTGGCAGCTCAGCTTCAGTCACTTTCCCAACACTCTCTGTGTCTTTTCTATAAATACTTTCATGATGATTGATTGGATGAGCTCTTCACTATGGTACTTAGACTTTTTTTAATTTAAGCACAGTACTCGACTGGTATTGAGATCTCATCAATTTACAATTGAACAGGCAAGATGTAGGAGTAAATTCTGTGCTAACAGTTTCTTTTCTTGCACTTCTCACTTATGGAACTCCCTTCCAGCTCAATTTCCTTAATGTTGCCTCATTCACTGTCCATCCAAAGCTCGCTGATTTGCTGTCTCCACACTCCCTTGCATAACATACACACGATTCTGGCTCTTTTGGGTCACTGAGGTAAGTCACTGCTACAGTCTGGAAAACCAGAACTCAAAATGGCTACAACTGAAAAATAAAGAGGAAAAAGAGAGAATAAAGAGTGAGTGTAAAGTGAAAAAATGATGAAAAGGACAAATAACCAAACATTCTATACAAACACACAGATGGGTGCAAGTGTGTGCATGGTAACTCGAGGTTGTATTTTCCAACTAAGTTATCTGGACACTCATTACACACATATATAAAAAAAAAAGCCTAAGAGAAAGATTGTATACACTTTACTTATTCTTTAACTTATCCTTCTGTCAGATTCTGATCCATATTTGATTTACATTTGACCCTAAACTCACAATTTCACTCACTAATTTCTCTTGTGTCTCCAACACCACATAACAACCAGACAATAAATAATATTCATTTTGTTGTTTTCACATCTTGCTGCTTCTCAATATTACGAGTATTTTTTATATATATAAATGTTAAGGTGTTTATAATTATTTACCCAGAGTTATGACTCCACTACAAGTTTCCAGGGAAAATTTGAACATAAATTGTTCATTGTCTTCTGAGCGCTTTTGTTTTTCATAAGCCATTATGAAGGACTTTTATTTTTGTGTTGGTGCAGTTGTGTCTTTGTATAGTTTTTTTTGGTAGCTTTTCTTTTGTTTTTTTTGAGTGTCACATCTTTATACCTTGATGAAGGTTAAGTCAGTTTTTTCAAGTATCACATCACTCTATGGTCACATGATTTTTTTTTTGTGGTTCTTTTTCTATTATTACTTAGGAAATAGATTTAGTATGTTTGTTCCTAAATTTGATAATATTTTATTGATGCTGGGTTGCTTGTTTTTTTATGCATAATGCTTCTAATAATAGATAGTAGTTCAGTGACACAATTTGTAGCTGAATTTTGATCTGAATGTTTCACTGTATAATATTTGCTCTATATAGTCTATGAAGAAATGTTGCATTGATAAGAAAGAAAAAATAAATATTTGTTTTATAAAATAAATGTTTTTCATTGTACATAAAGTTTGTAAAATTGTAGTTTCTTCTGGCTTGTAATCCATTTCCTCAAGTCAAACAATCCACAGACTACCACACATGTCTCATGTTCTCTACAGCAGTCATTGTTCTGTCTATCGCCTCATTATGCACATTTTTATATCTTCATTGGCAGCCAAAATTTATAAAAAAAAAAAGAGACTCTTGAGAAACAAGACATGTCTGAATCCATTTTCATCCTGGAGGTAAGGAATTTTCTCTAGTGTTACATTAACTGTTGCAAAAAATTCATGCAACCCTAGGCCTCTTTGCTCTCTGCAGTAGTTCACTACAATTATTAAGCTATGACTTATTTATGTATCTATATATACCCCATTGAATTATGTGCATTAATAAGTGAAGAAATTATTTTGAAAAATAAATATTTGTTATGTAAATAAAAGCCTTTTTTATGAGAATATACACTTATTTATATACTTACTTGTTTGCGTATGGGTAGGTATATTATGGTCTTGTTCTATCTTGGTAGACAGTGGAATGATACTGAAATGGTTTCTCCAGATCACAAGCCTGGGGAAAGTTTATAGATACCCTTGCAATGCCCTGTCAACAGAATCCTCTTTCTGGCCCCACTAATGTAGCCCAAAGGAAATGTCGATTACTACATCTGGCATCAGGTTAGCTGCAGGAGTCAAAGTTAGCATCCAGCTGCATTAAGAGGTTTGGAATCAAAATTGTTGTCTATATATAAAATTTGGGATAGTGACATTAGTTGCAATACATTACTAATATACATCCCCATGGTGACGTTAAGGGAATATCCAACTGATATTACTTGAAAAACAGCTAAGCTGTGCTAAAAGTTTCCGTTTTTAATTCAATAAATATTGTGTGCATGTTTTTACACTTACTTCTTCAAAATATGTGAATTTTAAATGAATGAAAATATAAACTGTATTCAGCATTATATTTAAGTACCATATATTTAATTATATTTAATTATATTT